TGAGCAAATCAATTACTGTGTGAAGATTTAGAGGATGTTGTTTAATTCATCACGATCTGTGCTATATTACGTTTCCTCACAGTTTCTTTTTTTATTGATGTTCCTCTTATTTCTTTCCTTGACATCTAATTCTACAGGACTGAACAATCCTTTGAGGGTAAGTGTTGTGCACTGGAGGCCTGATCCTGCATCATTTCTGAATAAATGAACTGGGTTCATTTATATCAACATGGTGAATTCTTAATGATAAGGGTGTAAGTGATGCCAATAGGAGAGAACCATGAAATTAGGTGTCTGGAAATTAAAAACACTTGTTCTTTCAAATACCTGACATTGAGTCGGGAATGCACTATCCAGTGAAGAAAGAGTTGCTGATGTGTATTTATTACATACACATTACACATCACATGCAGTAAATCCATTCTATGTAACTCATCTATTTCTTTCGATGGCTAAATAAAAGAAATGTAAATGTCTACAGAATATTGATGGACAGAGTGATCCTAAAAGGGCTAAGAAGTGGGGAAAATCTGAGTTTCCTAAGCCAGAATCAGAGCTTCCCCTGCCAAGGTGAATTTGGGCTGGCTGTTCAGTCCTTTGGCACCTTTGATTTTTGGTGTGTGTGTTTTTAATTTTTATTTTCCTTTCTTTGATTTAGATAATGTAATCTAGGGCTAACGTAGTTTTTCTCCAATGCTGAGACTGCACTAGTAAATCAGGGGACTTTGAAGCTAGTGGATCCAAAGTGCGTTCTTGACATGCTCCAAGACTTTACTGCCATCTGATAATCAACTACCAAAGGCGTAATGTTCTATTGGATAGCCACACTAGCCAGTTATAATATATTTTATATAATATAAAGATACAGGTCCCTTGAGCTCAACTTCTGGTGACTATATAGACATATCCATGTAGTTTTCTTTGGAACAGTGTGGAAGAGGTTTGTTATTGTCAACTTCCAGAATTCTATGTAAAAAGAAGGGCCAAGGTTTCATTTTCATGGTAGGTTTATCTTTTCTAGGAGTTCAGTGTGGAATACATAGTGGTCCTTCCACCAGTTTTTTCTCCAAAACAACAGTCTTTGGGGGCAAGTTGGGCTCGGTGGCAGCAACTACCCAATCATCTAATGAATTTCCATGGCCGACATTGGACTTGGATTAAGATCAGATTCTGGATTCAGCAACCTCATCACTGCACTACAATGTCTGTACAGATGCTGTTGAAGTCAACTCCCTCAAGGCCCTAAAGAAAATATTCTGGTGAGAGATGATATGAGTTCTAGTCCAAAGACATTTTTTTCTCCCAGATTGATGATGATGATGATGATGATGATGATGATGATGATGATGATGATTTAAAATGTCTGCATTATACTGGAATAGGGCCCTATGTATTATTAATATTTCCTTCATATGTTACAATCTGCACAGCTATCTCCAATTATTGGGATAATAATATGACAATGAAGATAATGATGATGTTCATCATTTTATCCATCATATTAATAGCCCTTTGGCCATTTATTCAATGTTATTTCTGTATATACCATGTCTAACTATATTTATAATTTCAAGATGACAATGATTGTAGATGGAGCAAAGTTTGTAGACACAAAATCATACCACAAAAATAACCCTACAAAACATATTAGTAGATATTTTCAAAGATACCTTAGTTATTTTGTTGGCCAAATCTCAAGGGTTTCTGCAGGAGCTGCTGTAATCCTGTTTTAGCCTGTATGAAAGGGAAGCAATCACAGGGATCACTATCTGAATTTTCTAAGCTTCACTTTCTAAGACAGTGTTTTTCAACCTTGGTAACTTGAAGATGTGTGGACTTCAACTCCCAGAATTTCCCAGACAGCATTCTGGGAGTTGAAGTTCCCGCATCTTAAAAGTTCCCAAGTTGAAAAACACTGTTCTAAGATATGAAATGTAAATTATGATGTGGACCTACCCAAGTTTCAAAATGGTTTTTTTAGGGGAGTTTAAAATATTTTACTGTAGTAAACTAACGGGAGAAAAAAATACATAGCAATATACTAATGATTAACATATAAATTAATAATCATGATCTTAATAAAAAATTAACATGAAAAACAAGCTGGAAAATTATGTTAAAAGCAATAAAACTCCAGCAAAATGGACCACATTGCTCAAAAGTCTTCTTCTTTGCCTTTTAGTAAAATAAAAACAAAACTATTCAACAATATCAATAGTCTTTTGCTGCAAATCAGGCATCAATTCTTCCAGTTTTTAGGCAGTCCCCAGGCCTGAAAATGCACAGTAGATCTCTTGGGAGATTCAAATGCTAAGGATATAGCCAAAAACACATGTGCATCTTTAATGTTCAGAATCTTCATCACACTATCTTTTAAATTATAGTCAAGAGCAATTGCTACAGATTGCATATTTCTAAAAGACACAAAACAGATACTGTATATTAAGGATACTAACAAGATTACTGGCATGACTCAAGAAAATTTCACTTAGAATTTCATGCATGAAACTCTATTTTAACATACGGAAGATTTGTGATAGTATGTGTACAATGTAACACTTGCGTAGTAAACTATATTAGAAACTTTCATGATGTGATAAATTCAGCCCACAGATCTGAGAATCTGGATTAAAAAATAAATAGGTTTAAGCATAGCAGATTAAATTTTATTAAAAATGATGTAACTTCTGCAAAGATGTAGCTAAAATGATGCACAAGGACACATCTTCATAGAAAGTAAAGAATGTTATATCACCCAAATATGATCTATATTTCACTTGATCAAAGAGTTTGTGGGAAACATAGTTAAAAAGTAAAAGCCTTATGCAATAAAATTTAAAAGAGAAGATTGGAGACTGACAGGATGCAACTGGCTCAGCTTCAAAGTCCTTCAGAGTGCATATAATCAATGTTTGTCAATAGCAGTTTTGCTCCCTTTAATTTATCTTTTGTGGATATAAAGCATGCCGATATTAGTTCCACTCCATACTGTACTTTCAGTCTGATTTTTGTTGAATCAGGAATGTATTAAAATTCAGTGCACCACATTTTAGTCAAGGACAGATCACATAAAAGTGTGTTTATTACATTCCTTTCATCTTTCTGTTTCTCTAACTAGAGAAAACTTATTTATAGAAACTTATGGAATTGAGAAATAGCTAAAAAGCAGTATGGGGTGTGTGTGTGTACACATATACATGTACATATATACATATACATACATACATAC